GTACTACTACTACTACTACTACTACTACTACTACTACTACTACTACTACTCTTACGATTATTTCTACGACTACTCCTAATACTACTACTGCTACTATTACTATTACTACTACTACTACTACGGCTGAAACGAGTAGTGATAGTAGTAGTAGTAGTAGAAGTAGTAGTAGTAGTAGAAGTAGTAGTCGTAATAGGAGTGGTAGTAGTAGTAGTAGTAGTAGTAGTAGTAGTAGTAGTAGTAGTAGTAGTAGTGGTAGTCGTAGTACTAGTAGTACTCGTAGCACCGATAGCACGAGTAATCGTAGGTGTAGTAGTGGTAGTAGTAGTAGTAGTAGTAGTAGTAGTAGTAGTAGTAGTAGTATTAGCAGTAGTAGTCGTAGTGTCAGTAGTAGTAGTAGTAGTAGTAGTAGTAGTAGTAGTAGTGGAAGTAGTAGTAGTAGTAGTAGTAGTAGTAGTAGTAGTAGTAGTGGAAGTAGTGGTGGTAGTAATAGGCGTCGTCGTAGCAGTAGTGATAGTGGAAGCCGTCGTAGTAGTAGTAGAAGTAGTACTACGAGTTGTTGTAGTTGTAGTCGTAGTAGTAGTAGTAGTAGTAGTAGTAGTAGTAGTAGTAGTAGTTGTAGTAGTCGTAGTCGTAGTCGTAGTCGTAGTCGTTGGTGTCGTTGGTAGTGGTAGTAGTAGTAGCCGTAGTAGTAGTAGTAGTAGTAGTAGTAGTAGTAGTAGTAGTAGTAGTAGTAGTAGTTGTAGTAGTAGTAGTCGTAGTCGTAGTCGTAGTCGTTGGTGTCGTTGGTAGTGGTAGTAGAAGTAGCCGTAGTAGTAGTAGTAGTAGTAGTAGTAGTAGTTGTAGTTGTTGTTGTTGCTGTAGAAGAATAAAAAGAAGTAACACGCGTAGGCGCAGGCGCAGTTGTAGTTGTAGTCGTCATCGTAGGCGTAAGGGTTGCAGTCGTAGCCGTAGTCGGAGCCGTGGCTGATTATTCTAAGGATTCGCCGCACCGCCGGCCCCTTGGGCTGGCGCGTAGTTGTAGACGCCGCTGTGCTGAACATGGGTGTCGCCGGGCACATGATGACCCGCTAGGGTCTGCTTGTGGAGGTCTTGAAGGCGCCGCCTCGTGAGGTATAAAAATAAGCTGGAGATAGGAATGAACGGGGGAAGAAGGGGCAGCACAGCGTGGTGGGGGGAGGTAGGCGACGCAGAGAAGGTTCTGGGCTCGAGGGCGACTCACCGTTTTGAGATGATGGTGATGATGATGTGGATGCTGCTGGTGATGGACGGTCCTGTTGATGGTGATGGCGACGGTGATGATAATGACGATGACGATTGTGATCGTGTTGGTGATAGCGACAATGCTGATTGATGGTGGTGATGATGATGAGGAGGAGGGGGAAGGAGGGCAAAGACGAGAATGAGATAACAGAAGAGGGCGAAGAGGACGAGGAACGGTGCGAATTGCAGGAAGCATTCCAGACAGCACTTCGCGATTTACGACGCTCAGCGTGCCAGGCGGCGCGGTGGCGGAGATGCTGACGCGGATTGCAGCCTGGCCGAAGCGAGGGATCTTGTGTTTTGTTTTCGCTTCGTTGTTGTCTGTTTTCCCGCTGGCTGGGATCCCCCCTGGAGCCGCGGCTGCCCTGCGAGGGGTTTCGGCGAGGGCGCCGACGATGACGACGACGGGTTGGTGGGGCTTCTGTCGCCAACTGCGTTCCGGGGACCTTCTGCTGTTGCTGCTACAGCTGCCGCGTGTGCATGTTGTCGCTGCTGTTGGCGTTGCTGGTGCTGGTGCGGTTGGCGGTGGTGTTGTTGTTTCATTATGCTGCTGATGGTGTTGATGGCGACCCCCCCCCACACTTGAGCGAAGTAGGAAAACGCGCAGAGTGTGCAGATACTGGCGCGCGGGCCGTGGGCTGTCCCCGCATCTGCCCGAGTACGGTCGCGAGTAAGCGCCCTCGTTTCCACGCGGTGTGCCACGTAAGCGGCTTGCGCAAGCCACCACGGACGGTCGCCACATCCTCGTGCGTAAGATCCCCTGTCAGTCGTCGCCAACTTGCCCTGATCCTCCCCCCCTTCTGTCCCCAGCCCCATTCGCCTCCCGCTCCGACTTATCTCCTACGCGAGCGGCTTCCTCCCTGCAACCACGTGCGAACCCTACCCTTGCGGATCCGATCAACCCTGAGGTATTGATCGAGCCCCTTGACCAAATTATTGTTTTGTGATCGAGTCCCAAGCAACCAGACAGCGAGGCTACGCCGTGCTTCGCCCTTTAGGAGCTCTTCGAACCACATTATTCACTGTGCAGCATCGAACGAGCATCGTCGACAATTGGACTGGAGTCCGGAGGCAGAGCGGAGAGATGCATTGTACAGTGGGTTCTTCAAAAAAACGATTTCAGACACCCTGCCATCCGATCGAGGCGAACTGCACACGTGAAGTAGACGAAAAATTTCCCGCCAGGGTTCCAATGATCTGACTTGGAGTGGCAGGGTTCTTAGATTGCTGCCCCCCCCAGCCGCTGCGGCAGGCACTTCTCCCGTGGTAGTCCTCGTGGGCCTCACTGTGCTTGCAGGGGCGTACTTGGGGAAGGCGCGCGGCTTCTTCACCTAGTCGTAGTCGTCGTCGTTGTCGTCGTCGTCGTCGTCGTCAGCTGTGGCGGCGTGTGTGTTTCTGTGTGTGTGTGTGGATGTCTGTGCGTGTTTCCCTGGCTTCTGAGTGGGCCCGCCTCGCACGTTCCCGCTTCGAGCTCTCTGGCCTTCTACGCCTCGACGTTGCGCGCAAGGCCGTGACATCAAAGAGTGTGCGTGCGTGTGTGCGTGTGTGCGTGTGTGCGTGTGTGTGTGTGTGTGTCTTTTGTGTGGCCCGCCTGCGCCCGTTCGGCGCCGCCGCCGCCCGCTGCTCCCCGCCGCGGCCCGCTGCAGGATCGGGCGTTTCTTGTCGTCCTCGTCGTCGTCGTCGTCGTCGTCGTCGTCGTCGTCGTGGGTGCCTCGCCGCCGCCGTCGCCTCGCCGCCGCCGCCGTCTCATTTGCCAGCGTTCCAGGGCCGAACCTTCTGGTCGCTCTGCCCGGTTTTGACTCTGAGCGCTCGACAGGCTTCCGTCCCGGCTGCGTGCGGCCGAAATATATAGATATATATATATATATATATATACATGTATGTGTGCGTGTGTGTCTGATTGCCTGTGTGTCTGTGGGTGTGTCTGTGCGTTTGTGTGTCTGTGTGTCTGTGTGTCTGCGTGTGCGTGTGCGTGTGCGTGTGTGTGTGGGTTTGTGTGTCTGTGTATCTGTGTGTCCGTGTGTCTGTGTGTCTGTGCGTGTGCATGTACCTGATGTGGGTGTGTGGGTGTGTGCGCGTGTGTGTGTGTTCTCCGGCTCGACGTTGCGCGCGAGGCCGCGACCGGCCAAAAAGTGTGCGTGTGTGGTGTGTGTGGTGTGTATGTATGTGTGTTGTGTGGTCGAGTGTGCGTGTGTTCGCGTCTGTGCGCGAGTGTGCGCGAGTGCGCGTGTGTGCGTGGGTGCGTGTATGCTTGTGTGCGTGTGTGCGTGTGCGTGTGTGTGCTGTGCGTGCTGTGTGTGTGTGTGTGCGTGTATGCGCGTGTGTGTGCGTGCGTGCGTGTGTGCGTGCGTGCGTTGGCGCGTGCGCGTGCGCGCGGCGACCGCCGGTGCCGTGGCGCGCGCCGCCGCCTCCGCTGCCGCCGATGGACGGCTTGGACGAAAGCGATCGCCTGGCGGCGGCCTCAGGCGAAGCGGAGGCGACCGCGATGCACGCGATGCAGGCATGGGGGACATGAAAGACCTCAGGAGGTGCGGGGCATGGCTCGCGATACATGGGAGGCTCTGAGCGAGGCGAAGCAAGCGAAGGAGGTGGCCGCCCCCGCGAAGCAGGCAGCCCTGGAGGCGAACATGACCGTCAGCAGCGCGGAAGGCAAGGTGACCGATCTCCAGGAGACGTCCATGACCAAAGATGACGCGGCGAAGATGATCGAGGAGAGTTTGTCGCAGCGCACGGCTCCGAGAAACAGAGCTTCAACGTCCAACCTATCATCTGCCGCTGCTGTCATTGGGGGCGCGCGCCCAAAGCGTCGACCTGTTAAGAGGCAGCTATGTGGGCCATGACTTCGCGCGCCGACTTCAGCGCCCCAGCTCCCATGCTAAGCAACACGCTTTGCAAGAGTGAGTTCAAGGGCGCGTTCTTCACCAAGTCCGGGCCCGACTCGGCGCGCCAGGCGTTCCTCGACGCGGTCGACGCTTTCGAGGCGAGGCAGCCTGGGAGTTTTAGGAAGCAGGGTTGAGGCGAAGCCGGGCCTCCCCCTCGACAGCAGCACGCGGGCCCCTCTTCGGAACGCTCCATTTTGCGCGGCGAGGCAGAACGTAGAATTGACGAGGGCAAAGAAGAATGGCTCGGCTACCCTCGTCGCCCCGGACCTGGAAGAAACAGCGTGTGACAGCGCCCGCGCAGACAGCTCACTGGGCGCGCTCAGGCGGCTAGGGCCCCAGAAGAGTTTCGGACAATGGCGCGCGCGATGATGACTGGGAGGATGTGTGTCGTCAGCGAATGCGGTGGCGATTCTGCTCCGAGGCCGCGGTTGTCTGGCATCCTCCAGGGGCGCGCGCGCAGCCCGCTGCTCCTTATTCCCGCTATGACAGTACTACTCCACGACGCCGTCGGTCTCTTGGCGGGCGGAGCGAAGGGTGCCCACGTGAAAGGGGGACTTGTGCGAGTGCGTCTACACGGATGACACCCTGCTGTTCGGTGCAGGCGACGTTTTCTTGAATGAGTACGTGAAAGCAATTTCTGGCGCGGGTGTCAGGCGTGGCGTGGATCTGCATGTGGGTAAGGTCCAGGTCCTTGCTGCGAGAGCGGAGGCAGACGGGCGCGCCCCGCATGACGCAGCGCCAAAGAAATTTAGCAGTTTCGATATGTAGGTACACATCCTTCAGCCGACGCAGACGCGGGGCCTGAACTAGGGCACGGAATCCGCGAAGCTTAAAAAATGCTTCCGTCGCTGAATAAGTTGTTGGTCCCATTCCTCTTTGACTTGTTACGTATTTTCTCGTCGGTGGTGGATTCGAAACTGCTCTACGGGCTCGTTGAGGCATGATTGAACAAAGCCTGGGCGCGTCGTCTGGGCGGCTCCCAGAACAGGATCATCAGAAAGATCGTCGGCATCAATCCGCCATGGTTGTCCATTGCACCGAACGCAGAAGCACTGACCCGCGCGCAGCACGCGGGCGCTCGCCCCCCACTACTCTACCGGCCGATGCTGTTGTTCGGCGACGTGCTGCGCTCAAGTTGGAACAATGTGTTCCGCTGCGCCACGTTGGCGCCAAAGTTTATCACGCCACCGACTGTTGCCGGATCGCGGCACAGAGGTGCGCGGAGCAGCGAGCTCGCCCCCACAGCGCTGAAGCAGGCTGTAAGAATCTTCGGGAGTGTTCACGCGACGGTAGACGCAGCGCAGTCTGAATCGGGCTGGAAGCGCACGCTGCGCCATCACATTCTCTCACTGAGTGCTTTCGTCTACTGTAGTATGTTCCGCGCCCTGTCTGTCCACGCGCCGCCTGGTGCACGATTCGGAAGGAAGGAAAGAAGTGGTGCTTCATGTCGGCACCTCCACTGTGGACTGCCGCCAGACGTCCCCTACGCGCTCTCAGATTATTTGGCCTGCGGTCGAATCGATTTCAGTTTCCATAGCCGATATCCGACTGCAGGTTCCTGCGAACTGTTGCGTGGTTTTTGCAAGATCCTGGCCAAGCAGGTTCGATCTGGTTGTAATAGCCCATTTCTTCGTTACAAATTGGCAGCCATGACCATCCTCGATTAACCTGACTACGCAACAGCTGGGCCGGCCACCGTTCGATGGATTGGAAATCCTATCCTGGTAAATGTCCACGTTCGCACAAACATCGATGGCAGATGAGATTCGGTCCGAGAGTGGTGCTCACCTTTGAGGCCCCGTTCTGTGGGGACCTGGCCGGGTTCTTCGCTCGTTTCGGCCGCTGCCTGTTTTTTGTTTTACCGCTCCACGTGGGCTGCTGCCGCCCGTTGCTTTGGATTGGCCACGTCGTGGTTGCCTCTAGTCGGAGAGAAAGAGAGAGAGAGAGAGAGAGAGAGAGAGAGAGCGAAAGAAAGAAAGAAAACCAGCCAGCGCGCAAGAGCCATCGGGCAAGAACACTTGGGCCACGGCCTGACCCACAGAGGGCGGGACCCCGCCTCGAACACCCGCCCAACCAGCCATTCACAGCTCATCGCAGCGAACGGACGACCCCCCTCCCCTCCCCGTACCTTTCCCCCTCCGGAACCTCCCCCCTTTTTCTCCCCTGCGAAACGGACCCCTTCCCGTACTTTTCCCCTCCAAGGCTGCCCCCTCCCCGTACCCTTCCTCACACCTTCCTCCCTCTTCCTCTCGTTGCCCTCTCCCATCGGATCTCGGCCCTTCTCCCGCGCTGCCATGAGACTTTTTACATTCTGAATAGGATTGTTGATGGTAGTTGGCCTGCGCTGTCAGACCCTATTTGGATTTCGATGGACACAGCCAACACCTTGGAATGACCACGTCTCTTGTTTCGGAAGTGTCCCGAGGTGCACGGGTTCCCTCCTAAAATGTTTCGTCGCGCGCCGCCGTACGTCAACTGGGTCCACAGAGGGGCGTCCCTCTTCCGTTCATGTTCCGTGTGGCCCGTGACGTGGACGGATCGATGTTGTGTGTCGGGTTGCGAATGGCCTCCCCTTTTCCTTGGCATCGTTCGGACGTGTGCATTCTTTCCCGGGGAGGACCATCGAGGAGCATCCTGGACCATTGGGGAACAAAACACGCCTGAAACCGAAACATGCACGGGAAATGGACGTCCGAACGACGGCAAGTTCTCGACATGCTGATCGATTCGCGTGCTCGCGTCGCGGCCGCTTTTCTCCGCGGGGAGGGTGCGGCACGACGGTGGCATTCCGCCTTCAGCCCGTGCGCTCGCGTGCCCCCGCAAGGTGGAGCCTGGCACGGAGAGTACGGAGACTCTGGTGGCAACGGTCGGGGCGACCGGCGCGTTGGCAGGGCGGTGATGGAGCTCGAGAAAGTCTAGGCCTCGTAGATGGGGTCCGAGTAGATGGGGTCGAAGGATCCCGCCACATCGCCGATGCATCGGCGATGCAGCTCGATGCGGGACCCGATTTTCTACATGCTGGCGTCGCCGATGCAAAGCCGACGTCGCCGAGATGCATCGCCGATGCATTGGCGGTGCGGCGCGATCTTCCGACCCCATCTACTCGGACCCCATTTAGGAGGCCTCGAGAAAGAAAAAGCACCATCAGCATAATCTGTTGGCGCTCTGCGCGGATTTTGGGGGATCCGCGCCGGCCCCCCCCCCGCGGCGCTTCAGGCGCCGCCCCATGGCGCGCTCCGGGGGCTTCCGCGCGAATGCAAGAGGGATCCGCGCGGAGCGCCAGAAGTTGATTCCCAACCCGACAGAGGTGGGGATCTTGGCAGATCTGCAGGCCAGGCCCCCCAGCCAACCCCACCCTGCATGCCGCAGCCGCCGGGCCCCAGGTGGTCCCGAGCATCCCGAGTCTCCCAGGCGTCCCGCCTCGCACCCGGCCGATCCCACCTGGACCCCAAGGTGTCCCGAGTTGTCCCGAGGAGTCCCGCTGCGCGCCCGGCCAAGCCCACCCTGCAAAGCGCGGTCGCCTGCCCCCAAGTTGTCCCGCTGATCCCCGAGAGTCCCGGGTGTCCTGCCTGGCGCCCTCGACGAACACGACAGAACACAACATGACAGAACAGAGCATGGCATAACGGAACAGAGCATGACGGAACATGACAGAACGGAGCATACCAATATCATGATTGAGCAGAGCAAGCCAGAACCTCGCCGAACATACCAGAGCAGGACACGGCACAACAGAAGACGACAGATCATGACACAACAACACACTACCGAGCATACCATAACACACCTTGACAGAACATATTAGATCATTTCGCAGCATCGCTGAGCATATATTATTACGACAGCAGAGCAGAGCGACGAAGAGCACGACAGAACACAACATGACACAACATAATATGACTGAACATAACACGAGCATGACAGGCCATGGCAGAACATAACATTGCAATGCCATGACAACATAGAGCATCTCCTAACATCACATAACATACCCAAGCAGCACATGACATAACATACAACGGCATACCACAACATTTTATTTCGGAACCGAGCATACCATAACACATCCTGACATAACATATTCCATGACACATCATCACATATAATATCATAACACGACCGCAGAGCATAGCGACGACGAACATGACATAACACAACATGGCACAACATAACATGGTACGAACAGGACAGAAAAATGACAGAACATACCATAGCATCGTCATGGCAGAACAGGGCATAACATAACATGACATAATATACCATAGCAGAACATGGCTTAACCGAAGACGACGTAACACAACATACCATAACATAACCGAGCATAACATAACACACCTTGACAGAACATAGTATCACAACATGGCACAACATCATCGAACACATCATACAACGACAGCAGAGCGTAGCGACAGATACTAGCAGAGCATATCAGAACATACTATACAGAGCCGGGCCGTCAACAAACGTGACATCACATAACATACCAGAGCAGAACCTGACATGACAGAAGGCGACATAAAATAATATAATAGAACGGAGCCGAGCATGCCATAACATATTTTGAGAAAACAGATCATACCATGACACAGCATCACATATAATATCATAGCACGACAGCAGAGCATAGCGACGTCGAACACAACATAACACAACATGACACAACATAACATGACAGACTGGAACAGGAGCATGATAGAACCTGACTCAACAGAACGTAGCAATGTCATCATACATCAGGGCATAGCAGAACATCACACAACATGCGAGATCAGAACATGATTTAACAGAAGATGACAGACTACAACGTAACATTACATCACCGAGCATACCATAGCACACCTTGACATAACATATCATATCATGCAACAGCATCGCAAAACATATCATAACACGACAGCAGAGCATAGCGGCACATACTAGCAGGACATATCATAATATGTTTTACAGAGCCGGGACGTCAACAAACATAACATCACATGATTAACACACCATAGCAGAACATGGCATCACAGAAAACGACAGAACACACCATACCATAACATAATCAAGCATAACACACCATGACAGAACATATCATATCATATCATGACAGCGTCAGAGAACATATCATAATACGACAGCACAGCACCGCGAAACATACTAGGAGGGCATATCATAACATACTATACTGAACCGAGCTTTCAAAGCATCACAGAGCAAACCATATTAAACAATAGCTTGACATATCATATCATGGCATAAGATAGTGCCACAGGGTAGATCATACCATAAAGTCTCAAATTATATGGCGACAGCGATGAGCATACCGTGACATATTCTATCAAAAGAAAAACATATGTTAAGAGGGACATCGGAACAGACGACGCATGTAACGTCACAGGTGTCACGACGTCACGCCGGCCCGTCGAGACCAGAACAGGACATAATAGAGCACAACATGAAAAAAAGTGACTAACTGCAGCACGGTTGAACCGATTCTTGAACTCGGAAACGGCAGTTGTCGACCAAATAGGCGACCGCGCGCCGTCTGAAACAAACGCTTAAGGTTTCGGTGTGGATCGCTCGAAGCAAAATAATGTTGATGGCGTTTTTTCATTTTCCGGGGGATAGAACGGCGGCGTCCGGAGGAGGATGCAGTCAACCCGCACAGTAAGGATGAGCGGCTTTCCAAGGTTACCCTTGCCTCCTTCTCTTCGGCCCATCCCTGGCCACTTTCGCTAGCCGCGCCCTGCTCGCAGAGTTTCGGCATGGCCTTCCAAGGCCCTTGCAAACTCATCGTGCGTCCTTGTTACACGGATTGAATGTAGCAGGGTGGAAGAGAGGAGCTAGTTCTGGGCATTTCTTGGGCGCAGGAGTGCGGAGAGGATCGGCACATCCAACAGAAGAGGAGATGGGGGATGCGCAGATGCATGATGACGATGCTGGTGATGATAGTAATGACCAGGATGATGGTGGAGGTATTGAATATGATGGTGGTGGTGATGATGGTGGTGACGATGATGACTGAGATTGATGATGGTGATGTTAATGGTGGTGATGATGTCGATGACGATGGTGATGACGATGATGATGATGATGATGATGAGTATTAAAGATGGTGATTGTGGTGGTGATGATCGTGATGGCAAAGGTGGCAATGGTGATACCGAGACTTATGATGCTGCAGGTGATTGCGATGATGACGATAACGATACTGCTACTGATAACGATACCGAAGGTGATGATCAGTCTGGTGATGACGACGATGACGATACAACGATTTTGATGATAATGTTGCTGATGATGAGGCGTATAGGGAGTCAACGCAGTTCGGCGTTGTGTCAAGCGCATAAGCCTGATGACTAAGCAACTGCAGTTGTGCATCATGTTCATGCGCCGACGCGTCGCATTATTACATCTCTGAGAATTGCAGTGCACGTCCGAGGCCGTGACCCTAACAAATGGATGGACAGTGGGCCAGTCCCACCAAGACTGCGCTGGAGGTTCCCAAGACGCCCCGAGGGCGGTCCAACACAGTTCTCAATCTGTTCCAGAGAGGCAAGTATCACTGATTTCCAGTCTGTGGTACAAGAATGTCAGAGCTATCCTTTTTAGGGTCTCACGAGCGTCCAAAGCAGTTCAAGGCCAATATCGCGCCAGGACGGCCCAAAGAGAGCCCCCTGAGAGCCCCCAGCAGCATCAAGACTGCGCAACAGGTCGCAAATCGGCCCAAGAGGGCACCAGAACGGCTCAAGAGGGCGCCAATAAGGTTGCAAAACGGCCCCAAGAGCCCCTCGAGGCGGCATCGAGGAGGAGCCACATACGGCCCACGAAGGCCCCAAGGCAGCGCAAGAGGGCGTCAAGATGGCCCAAGAGTGCCCTCAAGAAGGCCAACGAGGGCCCCCCGAAGAGTATCAAGGCAGCCCCAATACGGAACACGATGGCCTTTGACATTCAATCACAAGCGAGTGAGTTTACACGGGCTAACGACCACAGGTGCGCTTCGTTTCCAGAACATTTGGCATGCGGATTCCTCTCAAAGGCAGGATGTGGCGGTAATTGACCGTAGGCGTCTTTGATACTCTTGGTCTTGCTCCTCACCCTCCTTCTCTTCCTCCCCCTCACCCTTCTCTCATCCTTCCTCATCCTCTTCGCTCTGTATTATCATTATTTGTGTTCCTGCATGTTCCTCCTCCGTGTCCGGCTCCCTCTTCCTCCTGGATCTTCCTCCTCTCCACCTCCATTCAAGAGGTCTGTCCGCCTCACGTAATTACTGGATCGAGTCACTGGCTACGGGCTAATTATGAGGATGAAAACTTGCGAGGCTGCAAGTTGTCGCCGCGTATGAGTTATATTGTTATTGAGGAGGTGGAAGAGGATGCGAAGGAGGAGAAGGTGGATGATGGAGATGATAGAACATGGATGGGGGAGGGGGGAGCTGGGACGGAGGCAGGGGAAGGGAGGAGCCAGACTGGCGCAGGAGGAGCGCGCGCGCAGCAGCAGATAGCGGGGCCAGTGATCGACGGCGACGACGACGACGACGACGACGACGGGAGGACAGACGACGGGGTGGCTCCTGGGCGCGGGTGCTCGGCTCCCCCGCGCACTCCAGGGCGCCACCTCGCTGAGCGCCTCCGCCCGCGCATGCTGCGCGCGGCACCCCGTGCCTCCCCGGCTGCCGCGTGGGCGGGCCGGGCCCCGGGAGCCGTCTCCGTCGGGCCCTGGCGGGTGCAACAGAAAGCTGGGATCACAGGATGGGCCTCGACACTGTGGATTTCATGCGGCCTCCTGGTGCCCACTTGCAGGGTCTGGTGGGGGTGCGGGAGCCAGGCCTGTGGATTGCCCTTGTTTGGGGGGGGGGGCAACCAGGCCTCTATCTCCTTGCGG